AGCCAAAACCGTGTCTCTCTCACCACCATAAGTCAGTTCAGTGAAACATATTACCTCACCCACCCTCGTGTGCAACTGACACGGCTACAACAACACTGCATACTTTTTCTTCATCATTTACAATGTATTTTATGCTTGAAAACATAAACCTACAATAACTGAAATAATAAGAAGTTTAGATTTGCTGAAATATCAGGTGACTCAACAATCTTATCAGTTGTGGACCAGAATGGAGAGCAAGGTCTTTTGATTGTCAAAGGGAAAACGGAATAGACAATTGAAGACCTTAACCTTCCATACATCCCTCACACACTCTCATTAAAGGTCAAATCTAATGTTCATTTGAAGACAACTAGAACTCATAAGAATTTAAGACCCAGATTTTAAAGGTGTTTTAGGTGCTACATTCAGCGTTGCAATGTCTAACTGATTTAGGTGGCTAAATCTCATTTCAAAAGGGATTTAAGCACATAGGAGCCAAAATCTCATGGACAGTCTGTGGGGTTTAGGTTCCTAAATGCCTAATCTGTCTTGAAAATGAGATTTAGGCTCCTAAATCAGTTAGCTGTTGCAATGCTGAACACATGAACGTCTACATACCTTTAAAAATCTGGGCCTAAGGTCTTTGCTGCCATCATATATCAGAAATTGCATAATTTAAGTATATGTAATGTTTTATTCATTAACACTTATGGAGAATCAAATAGTACAGCAAAAACCTTGTTTTATTTGCTGTAATATTTTGTGAAAATATATTAACAAACATGACCACTAAGTCCAAAAGTAGCATTCAAATGCCCTTTGGCCATATGCATTCATACAGAGCACATGTATGTGCCCAGAGCTAGTCGTTCAAAATAGTGACCCACTCACAACCAGTCCCTTGAAAAATGTGAATTTACTGTGGCAGAGCTGAGGGGAAAATTCTTAACAAATAACTTATTTAATTAATTTAGCCTTTTCTTTCTTTGTGAGCCACCTGCAGGTATAACATCATATTCTCATATGTATTAATTATTTGAAATGCTTCATGAAATTCTTCAGCAAATAATTCGGTTTTCAAACTGTTAAATTGAGAATTTAAAAGTATAAAAGAATATACAATATGCAACTCATGCTATAACTTATACAGCTAAACTAATGAGAGCAGCATGAGTTTAAAATTGTGTATTTGATTGTCATATGCTTAGATTACACTTTTATGGTTAATTATGTAAGAAATCCTAATCTGGGAATGGCAACAGTACCATGTGATATACAAACAGGGCCATTTCAGACACTGCTTGTTCACACAGGTGGCTTTGGGTCATGGGGGGCAGGGGTCTGCTCTACCAAGGCCAGCTAGCAATGTGGGTGTAGTCTTTACTTCTCATGTTTCAGTTCTATATAATGTCACATAACAAATGGTTTTATGCTGAAATAACTCTACTGTGATGATAAATTGAGCCTCATGAAGAATCAGGACATATCCTTAGCCCATGCTATCCCAGACCACAGATTTTCCCTCCTTTTATTTAACAGGAAACCTCCATCCACTAATCCCGACTTTTTCCACAAACACACAATTTCTGGATACATTCCCTATTACCTCCCCTTCCCATATGCAGTGTTAGAGCAGAGCAGTTGGGCCAAATAACATGGAGAAGGTTACACATTAAATTGCAGACATGCAAGTGGAGCCCAGTCAAATAATTGTGCAGTGGTTCCCTAGATTTGCTTGAAGCTGCCTTTATATGTAACTAACCAACACAGTATAAATTATGAAATTTATATTCAAATATACATCCGAAACATGCATTTTACAAATATTGAAACATTCACTTTGCATGATGAACACTCGTAACAGTAAGGCTCAAATGCTCACATAATTTTTGTTGAAAGCAAACATGACAAAAATGCATACATGATCAAATCAAAATTCAACGTCCAATTCAAACAAATATTTGCAAAAAAAAAAAAAAAAATTTCTCAGCTCTAAACTCCACATAGGATACGAGGCTTAGTCACGGATCAGGGAACCACAGTGGATGTGCTCCATAACCATATAATGGCAACCACTTATAAAGTTGTATGTGTGTATAAATTACAGATCTGTTGATTGTCTGCCACTACACAGGGAGTAGTCCAGATCTACTGAGTACACCTAGCATGTGCATGGACAGTAGGGCTGTCAAGTGATTAAAACAATTAATTGTGATTAATCGCGGTGTTAATAATAAAATACCATTTATTTAAATATTTTTGGATGTTTCCCACATTTTCAAATATATTGATTTTAATTACAACACAGAATACAATGTGTACAGTGCTCATTTTATATTTATTTTTTATTATAAATATTTGCTCTGTAAAAAACAAAAACATTTTATTTTTCAATTCACCTCATACAAGTACTGTACTGCAATCTCTTTATCACGAAAGTTGAACTTACCAATGTAGAATTACATACAAAAAATAACTGCACTCAAAAATAAGACAATGTAAAACTTCAGAGCCTAGAAAGTCCACTCAGTCCTACTTCTTGTTCAGCCAATCGCTCAGACAAACAAGTCTGATTACATTTGCAGGAGATAATTCCACCCGCTTCTTATTTACACTGTCACCTGTAAGTGAGAACAGGCATTCACATGGCACTGTTGTACCCGGCGTCGCAAGATATTTACGTTCCAGATGTGGGAAAGATTCATATGTCTCTTCATGCTTCGACCACCATTCCAAAGGACATGCATCCATGTTGATGTCGGCTTCTGCTCACTAATGATCCAAAGCAATGCGGACTGACGCATGTTCATTTTCATTGTCTGAGTCAGATGCCACCAGCAGAAGGTTAATTTTCTTTTTTGGTGGTTTGGGTTCTGTAGTTTCCGCATCGGAGTGCTGCTCTTTTAAGACTTCTGAAAGCGTCTTCCACACCTGGTCCCTGTCAGATCTGGGAAGGCACTTCAGATTCTTAAACCTTGGGTCAAGTGCTGTAGCTATCTTTAGATATCTCACATTGGTACCTTCTTTGCACTTTGTCAGATCTACAGTGAAAGTGCTCCTAAAACGAACATGTGCTGAGTCATCATCTGAGACTGCTATAACATGAAATATATGGCAGATTGTGGGTAAAACACAGAGCAGGAGACATACAATTCTCCCCCAAAGAATTCAGTCACAAATTTAATTAACTCACTATTTTTTTTAACAAGAATCATCAGCATGGAAGTATGTCCTCTAGAATGGTGGCCAAAGCAAGAAGGGGCATACGAATGTTTAGCATATCTGGCACGTAAATACCTTGCAAATCTGGCTACAAAAGTGCCAGGCAAACGCTAGTTCTCACTTTCAGGTGACACTGTAAATAAGAAGCAGGCAGCAGCATCTCCTGTAAATGTAAACAAACTTGTTTGTCCTAGTGGTTGGCTGAAGAAGAAGTAGGACTGAGAGGACTTGTAGGCTCTAAAGTTTCACATAGCTTTGTTTTTGAGTGCAGTTATGTAAGAAAAAAAAATCTACATTTGTAAGTTGCACGTTCATGATAAAGAGATTGCACTACAGTACTTGTATGAGGTGAACTGAAAAATACTATTTATTTTATCATTTTTACAGTGCAAATATTTGTAATAAAAAATAATATAAAATGAGCACTGTACACTTTGTATTCTTTGTTGTAATTGAAATCAATATATTTGAAAATGTAGAAAAATACCCAAAATATTTAATAAATTTCAATTGGTATTCTATTATTAACAGTGCAATTAAAATTGCGATTAATCATGTTTAATTTTTTTAATCACAATTAATATTTTTTAGTTAGTTGTGTGAGTTAACTGCGATTAATTGACAGCCTTAACTGACAGGCAACTATACATAATGAACTCCAGCACCCGACAGACTACTTGTAAGTTACTGATGCTCAGAGAAGCTTAAATTGGGTATTCTTTGCCTCTCGGTTCTGCATTATTTAAGGATATCATACTGCAAAGTCAGTTTCCCTACTTAACCACTTCCATGTTCTGGATGGTCATGTCACTTATTATTTGACACATAGACACTATGCAAATCACATTATAGTGCTTTTATACTGCATTATTGTAACACCATTATATGGACATATGCAGTACGTCACCATAAAATACATACCTAGGTTGGTTCCAGTGTTATGAATAAGGCTGCGAGTCTGTCGTGGAGGTCATGGAAGTCACGGACTGTGTGACTTTCAGAGATCTCTGTGAATTCTGCAGAGGCTGGAGCGACTGGCTTGGGGGTCAGCCACACCGGCTGCTGCTGGAGCAGTCTCAGGTCACTACACTCCCCCACCCCCGAAACAGCAGGAGTTTGGGTGTGGGCGGGGCTCCAGGGCTGGCGTGCAGGAAGGGGTGAGGGCTCTGGGCAGCTCTTACCTCGGGGGACTCCCTGGAAGCAGCAACATGTCCCTCCCTCGGCTCCTTGGCAGAGGCGTGGCCAGACAGGTCTACGCACTGCCTCTGCCTGCAGACACCACCCCCGCAGCTCCCACAGGCTGCAGTTCACAGCCAATGGGCGCTGCAGAGCCAGCACTCAGGATGCAGACAGTGTGCAGAGCCCCCTAGCCACGCTTCTGCCTAGGAGCCAAGGGACATGTCGCCGCTTTCAGGGAGCCACGCAGAACCAGGTAGGGAGCCTACCAGCCCCACCAAACCTCCTCCCCCATCCAGCACTAGCGAGGGTCCCGGACTGCACCCCATCCCAGAGCACCTGCGCTGCCCCTTGGGCCACCCCCCACCCCAGAGCCCCATGGCACTGCTGGGCTACCCTCTTCCCCCCCCCCCCCCACCCACCAAGCACCCAATATTTAGTCAGGGGTATATAGTACAAGTCATGGTCAGGTCACGGGACATGAATTTTTGTTTACTGTCCATGACTTTTACTAAAAATACCAGTGATTAAAACGTAGCCTTAATTATGAGGTGTCAATGCCACAGTATTATCTGCTAGAAATTTTAATTACTTTTATTATTGACTATATTATGCCATACCTGCTGCTCCTCTGCAAGTTTCTGCTGGATCGTGAGTTCTTCCTCCTTCATTTTTTCTAACATTTCCAGTTCTTTCAGGGCCTCCTCACGCTCTTGCTCCAGTTCAGCCCTCTCCTGCTTCCTCTGTCATTGCATGATATTGACAAATCAGAAAAAAGATTAACTAATATTGGCTATATTGTCATTAAAGTTTGTGAAAGAGTAACAGTAATCATTTTAAATGCAGAGAGATCCACCTCTTGTTCTTCATCTAAATTTCTCCTGTATTTGTAAATCCAGTATGCCAGGTACTCTATTGGGTCTATGGGCCGATGCTCTACCACTTCTGCAAGTCCCTTTGCCAAGCATATTCCTAGGCATCTCTTGAGATATTCAGAGTCCATTCACAGCTCCTGAAAAATGTAAAGGAAAACAGACACTAAACAGTGATTCCTGATTTAAACTAAAAAATATTTTAAGAATTACTAACTAGACCATATCAAATAGTTTGTTGCAAATAGTTTAGCCAAGAAATTCAGCCTTTTTTTTTTTTTTTTTGTGACTGCTCTGTGAAGAGGTTGTGCATCGTATTAAAGACAGTGTTATCTAGTTGACAAGGCACTAGGCTAGGAGTCAGGATTCACAGTTCTGCCACAATAACTAGATAACTAGTCTGCTAGATAACTTTGGAAAAGGTCATTTGTGTCCATTCCCTTCTCACCCCTTTGTCCATCTTGCCTATTTAGACTGCAAGCTCTTCAAGGCACAAACTTTCTCTCACTGTGTGAACAATGCCTAGAACCAGGGGTCCTAATCTGAGTTGGGGCCTATAGGCACTGCAGTATTACTAATAATAAATACTAATTTGCTCATTTTTTACAAGTGTTCAATACTTTGTGCATGAACATTGATCATAGAGTTTTTGAGCTGGTTTCACTGAATATTTACTATTCATACTTTATGAGCTAGTCACGTAAGTCACATGCTGTTGTGTCTGCTCCTTGATCAGATGGCCTAAGCTTTATCAACTGGAATTCCTTTTTCCGTTCACCAATTATCTGTGAATATTTGTAAGTATCAGACTAATGTGGGAGTAATTAAAACAGCTTTGCAAAATGACCACAAGAGTAGTCCCAATAGAAATGCTCTCATAAACAGATTTTTATTCACACTAGGATTTGAAAGATTTTGCTTCCAGCAAGAATTCTTGTGAATAAAAGCTTGTTCTTCTGTGGCTAGGTGAATAGAAGTCATGAACACAATCAAAACAAATTGGTAGGTTATATCCATAAAAATCTTCGTTAATGCTGCGTGACTGACAAAGAGCATGCACACGTCTGATGTATTTTAATCAGAAAATGAAGTGGGCATGCACTTTCATGCACTAAATCATCAATATTATATGCCAGTATAGTATGATTTGAATAAAGCAAGAGAAATTGAAGGAATTGTCACAGATTGAAGTGTCATTAGATGAGGTTTTGGAATGAACTGATAAACTTAACAGTAACAAGTCACCGGGACCAGATGGCATTCACCTAAGAGTTCTGAAAGAACTCAAATACGAAATTGCAGAACTATTAGCTATGATTTGTAACCTGTCCTTTAAATCAGCTTCTGTACCCAATGACTGGAAGATAGCTAATGTAATGCCAATATTTAAAAAGGGCTCTAGAGGTGATCCCGTCAATTACAGATCAGTAAGTCTAACATCAGTACCGGGCAAATTAAAGTTGAAACAATAGTAAAGAATAAAACTGTCAGACACATAGAAAAACATAAATTGTTGGGCAAAAGTCAACATGGTTTCTGTAAACGGAAATCATGTCTTACTAATCTATTAGAGTTCTTTGAAGGGGTCAACAAACATGTGGACAAGGGGGATTCAGTGGACATAATGTACTTAGATTTCCAGAAAGCCTTTGACAAGGTCCCTCACAAAAGGCTCTTATGTAAATTAAGTTGTCATTGGATAAGAGGGAAGATCCTTTCATGGACTGAGAACTGGTTAAAAGACACCGAACAAAGGGTAGGAACAAATGGTAAATTTTCAGAATGGAGAGGGGTAACTAGTGGTGTTCCCCAAGGGTCAGTCCTAGGACCAATCCTATTCAGCTTATTCATAAATGATCTCCAGAAAGGGGAAAACAGTGAGGTGGCAAAGTTTGTAGATGATACTAAACTGCTCAAGATAGCTAAGACCAAAGCAGACTGTGAAGTATTTCAAAAAGATCTCACAAAACTAAGTGATTGGGCAACAAAATGGCAAATGAAATTTAATGTGGATAAATATAAAGTAATGCACATTGGGAAAAATAAACCCAACTATACATACAATATGATGGGGGCTAATTTAGCTACAACTAATCAGGAAAGAGATCTTGGAGTCATTGTGGATAGTTCTCTGAACACCTCCACGCAGTGTGCAGCAACAGTCAAAAAAGCAAACGGGATGTTCAGAATCATTAAAAACGGGATAGAGAATAAGACGGAGAATATCTTATTGCCCTTATGTAAATCTATGGTACGCCCACATCTTGAATACTGCGTACAGATGTGGTCTCTTAATCTCAAAAACGATATACTGGTATTAGAAAAGGTTCAGAGAAGGGCAACTAAGATGATTAGGTGTTTGGAACAGGTCCCATATGAGGAGAGATTAAAGAGGCTAGGACTTTTCAGCTTGGAAAAGAGGAGACTAAGGGAGGATATGGTAGAGGTATATAAAATCGTGAGTGGTGTGGAGAAAGTGAATAAGGAAAAGTTATTTTCTTGTTCCCATAATATAAGAACTAGGGGCCACCAAATGAAATTAATGGGCAGCAGGTTTAAAACAAATAAAAGGAAATTCTTCTTCACACAGCGCACAGTCAACCTGTGGAACTCCTTGCCTGAGGAGGTTGTGAAGGCTAGGACTATAGCAGGGTTTAAAAGAGAACTAGATGAATTCATGGAGGTTAAATCCATTAATGGCTATTAGCCAGAATGAGTAAGGAATGGTGTCCCTAGCCTCTGTTTGTCAGAGGGTGGAGATGGATGGCAGGAGAGAGATCACTTGATCATTACCTGTTAGGTTCACTCCCTCTGGGGCACCTGGCATTGGCCACTGTCGGCAGACAGGATACTGGACTGGATGGACCTTTGGTCTGACTCAGTATGGCCATTCTTATGTTTTTATTATCATTTCATTTGTTTTGAACATTTTTAACAATCTTTCTAACTAAATTACATTTAAGGAAACAACAAACTCTCTTAAACATGGCTCATTGTCGATTAGTTTTATAGAACTTCAGACGGAATGCACAATTAGATATACATAACTTACCAGTTCAGAGAGAATTTATTAAAATATATACAGGGAAGCTGTACAAGGGACCACTCCTATTAGGTAAATACCTCTCTTACACCTGCCTGTATGTATCCAAAACACAGAGTATAATTCTGCTCCATTTGTTTCAAAATGTAATTTCCATGAAGCAGCAGTTGCTTAACATGGTTTAGCTGTAGGAAATATTCACTGATCTCCAGTTACAATTGTACATGATCACTACAGTTTTCCTTATAGTGCTAAATTCTATTAGTTCTTCTCAAATAGTCCCAATTAGCTATTTTCTGTCCTAAATACACACTTCACTGAATTCAATGTGGATTCTAGAAGCGACTTAGAATTTAAATAATTTCTGTGTATGATCCATTTAAGAAGAAGAAAACAGACCTTATCTAAAGGCAAGTCACACAAATGCAGGAAGGAAAACTCGTTTCTTGACACAAGGGAGATGAGAAACATCACAGACTATTCCTTCCTTCTAGTCTCTTGCACAGACGCCCCTTAGGTATGCTCCCTGTTAAGTTCAGATCTTACTTTCTGACACACTGGCATATATCAGTGTTTTGTCACAATGTACCTCCACAGAATGCACATCTGAACACACTTACCTCCTGAAAATTCTATACTTTCCTCTCACCTCAAAGGATTCTGCAACCCACTCTTCAAATATATTTAAATTCTTGGCATGGTTTGCACACTTTGGTTTTGGGATGCTTGATTTTCTTGTTTAAACCATTTCTTCAACAAAAGAACAGTTAGGTATGAGACAAGTACAGCATAAAGGGCTTCATTTATGGCCATATGTCTCATCTATGCCACTCATGAGATTAAAAATATATTGACTCAGAATGCACAGTTTTTGTTTTCCTACAGCCTCATGTCAGCTTTCTTTTTTTTTTATATATATTTAAATATTCTAGTTTGAACTAACTAAGCTAAGTTTTAAGCATGTATATAAGTTTTGTATGATCAGGATAAGATATATTACTACTATTACAATACTGTTATATGATATAATAATGATATGACTATAACGATCATAATCCTTGTTCTGGAATTTGTGTGTGAACATTGACCAAATATTGCTTATTGTAGGTACAGTTCTGAAATCACCGTCTGTTTAGTATATGATTCCCAACGCTTTGGAAGGAATAAAAGGTTGCAGAAAAAAATAATAGTTTGAACACACTTTCATTTTAGAACTCAAAATACATTTAGCTTTTTGCTACCATCTGCAAAATATCAGTTTTTTCTAAATCTTTTAGTAAGCCCTGGCCCTTTAGATCCAGTTGAAATTGAGGGTCAAATTGGAAAGCAAAAAAATATCAAGTGTAAAGAATATTTGTTACGTAGATACAAGGATAATAGCTGCCTTCCAAATACTTAAGCATCATAACAATGTAAAAGACCTTGTGAACGTTTTATTCAGGCCAAGAGTGTTCACAGTGCAATCTGTGGTGTGTTAAAAGGTAATTTAGGATTGTTCTCTTCCTATAAATAAAGAATGAAGGTAAAAATGATCATCTGTCAGTTTTTAATACTTGTGAATGGAGACAAAAAACAACTCTTTCCAGGAAGATGCAAATGCAAGCAAAACTATGGTTGTGTGTATTTGTGTTTTGATTTTCAACAGATGTAGCACTATCCAGCTTGGGCACCCTGGGTTTAGATCAATGGTTTTCAATCTGTGGACCCTGGGGGGGGGGAGGGGGGGCAGGGAAGGAAAGAGGTGTCCACAGACTATGCCTAACATTTCCAAAGGGGTCCACTCCTCTATTTGAAATGTTTTAGGGGTCTACAAAGGACACAGGGTTGGAAACCGCTGGTTGATCTGATTTGTTATGAACCAGGATGATGACCCTGGAGGGTGGGGGGAGGCTGCTGGGAGACAGGTGACCAGTGACTGCGGCTGGTGCATTGTTGCTATGAACGGACTGGAGGCGGTTTGGGGAACAGGAGTTTGCTGAGAAGGCCCCGCAGACGCGCATCGGCAGGGCAGAGCCACCCGCCCAGGGCCCCTGGCCGCTCCCCCGCGCACACGACCCTCCGGGCCCCCTTCACGAGGGCGAAGCCGATTGGAAAGGTTCCCACGTTGCGGCGCCGCGCACAGACCAGATTCACTGGAGCGGAGCCCCGCCGGGGAAGACAAGGCCCGAGCCCATGTCCCCACCCTGCTTTCCCGGGGGGGGGGGGGGGGGCACGACTCCCTGCTGCGGCCTGGGAGCCCTACCGGGTGCGTTCGCCAGCTGGCAATAGAGCGCGGGCCAGCGAACCTCCACGACCGCGGCGCGCGTGATGAGTAGACGGGTCTGGGCGGGCGAACGAGCGTCCAGCGTGGGAAGGGGGCGCCGGCCGTTGCTCCGACGCTTCGAGAGGCGCGCAGCCGCAGAGAGCACCCCCCAGCGCGCGCGGAGTGGGAGGGGCGGGCTCGGGAGCGTCCCGTCGCTAGGCAGCCGCCCGGTGACCCAAGCGGTAGGATTGGTGGTGGGGCTGGCGTTGGGGGCTGTCACGTGAGTACGGTGGCGGGGTTAACCCCGTCGGGGCTGGGCGTTGGCAGAACATCGGCTTGGCCTGGGGGCAGTTCGCCTTGGAGAGCCGGACACGGTGGGATCCCGGCGTGTGGGCCGGAGCGGGGGCGCAGGGTCCTGCCCCTCTCGGCGAAGACTGCGGCCCCGGCGCGCTGAGGGATGCGGGGAGTAGTGCCCGGCTCTGCGGGACGCGACCGCGCTCCGCCCACCCCTGGGCGGCGGCGGCATCGCAGCGGGCGTCTGGTGGGGTCAGCCCCGGGCACGCAGCCTGGGGCGGGAGTGACAGTGGGGCTCCAGCGTGCAGCCCGGCTCGGGAGCCTGTCACCCTGCGGTCAAAGCACTGTCCCGTCCCCTACACCTGGGGGTGAGTGACTGATCTTTACACAAGAGAAACCTCTGCTACTCTCACTCGTGTAATACCAGCAGCGTGCCACCTCCCTGGCTGCTCATTGCGGTAGCTACCCATGGGGAAGGTAAAGAGCCCCTGGTCTGTTCCTGGAGAGGACAGAATAACCCCAGTAACCTGGACAGGAGGGGCTCTCACTCAAGCAGACTCCGGTGTACAAGACTTACTCCTGGTGGAATTCTACAACAAAAAATTAAAAAGTCTGTGCACAGTGTTTTAAAATTCTGCATATTTTATTTGTCAAAATAACACCATATAATCACACCAGTTTCAATTAGTTTAGGTCATTTATTTCAAAATATCTGTCAGCAGGTATGTCTGTAACAATACAGACATGAAAAAAGATTCAGGAAATGTTTTTTGACAAATAGATTCCTTACTAGGTGTATTAATACAGATCTCTGAGTAATAATTCATTTAAACTACAATACAGAACAATATTTCCTGCACCCTTCAAAAGCAAAAGCTTGGGGGAGTCAGGGGTAAGGGAGGAGCTGAGGGAGAGGGAAGTGAATTGCTGGGAAGGAGCCTGGGTGTGAACTTGGAGGGTTGTGGGAATGGGTGGGAAATGAGGGTATGGGTAGGAAAAGTATGGAATAGGTTTTTTGTGGGATGGGAAGGATTGTTAGGGAGCTACCCCCCTCCAGACCCTGGTTGACCTCTAGCATCTCCCATTCAGTCAGGCACTTCTGCCCCTGTCCCAATGTGTTCCTGCACTCCCAGTCCACATGAGTCCCTCCACCCGCACTCAGACACCCTCTCCCCCCATTCCAATGTGGCCCTGCACCATCCTACCCCCATCCCTATGTGGCTCTGTACCCTCTCCCTCTTTCCCCATGTGTCTCTGTGCCCCAGGGTGAAAGTAAAAGACAGGACTTACTGGTATGGGAGCCAGCACCTCAGGCAGAAGGGGCAGGGCTGGGGGGTCAACGCCCCCAGCCAGCCCATCCATGCTGCCTGGCCTGTGCCGCCCAGGGCTCCTGCCGTGGTTTTAAGGTCCCAGGGCTCCGGCCGGAGTGGGGGGAAGGGCAATGACGTTAAAGCGCTGCCATGGCAGCGCTTTAAGCAGGGTCCTTTGCCGCAGCAGCGCTTTAACATCGCTGCCCCTTTTGCGCTCCCCCCCCTCGGCGGCCCTGCCCGTAGGGACTCGGCAGGGGTGCCAATGTTAAAGCACTGCCGCAGCAGCGCTTTAAAGTCAGCTGGGTACGGGCCAGTACCGGCGGCTACTTTTTACCAGTACGCCGTACTGGCCCGTACCAGCTTAATTTCACCCCTGCTGGGCCCCCACCCAGCCACTCCCCTGCCTCTTGTAGCTCTACACCCCTCCCCCGTCACAATGTGTCCCTGCACCTTCCTCCCCCCTGTGGCCCTATGCCTCCGCTCCCATTCAGCACAATGCCCCAGTCTGTCCTCCCCCACTAGCCCTTATGAAAACTTGCCTGACACCCCCCCCCCCCGCCCCACATTCTGTCTGTCTCCTGTGTCCTGACCTGGCCTGACAGGCACTGCAAAGAAGGCAAGGCTGTTTCTCTTCCCTAGCTAACTGGGAGCTGCTGCTACTGTTCTTGCACAGTACCCTCTGGTGGGCAAAAGCTGGAACTGCAGCAACATTCGGTGGAAGCTTTTTTCTGCGCAAAAAAATAAAAATATGCACAGCTCATTAATTATTCGCACACACAGTAGCACAGAATTCCCCTGGAGTAAAGACTCAGTAGGAAGCTCAGTCTACGCTAGGAATTTACATCACTATAGCTAAGTCTCTCAACGGTGTGAAAAGTCCACACCCCTGAGAAATGTAGCTATGCCAACCTAATCCCTGATGTAGACAGCACTAGGTCAATGGAAGACTTGTTCCATCAACCTAGCTACAACCTCTCATGGATGTGGATTATCTATACCAATGGAAAAACTCCTCCCCATTGGTGGAGGTAGTGTTTACACTGAAGCATCACAGAGTTGTGCCGCTGTAGCATTTAAATATAGACATACTGTTAGACTTTGCCTACATTAGCACTTTTATCAGCAAAACTTTTGTTGGTCCAGGGTGTGAAAAAACACAGAAGTTTCTCCAACAAAAGAGCTGGTGTGGACAGCACCACTGCCAAGGCTACTGACGCTTGTTGGGGGTGCTTTAATTATGCTGGCAGGAGAGCTCTCTTCCGCTGGCATAGAGCGGCTATCCGGGAGACCTTATGGTGGCACAGCTGCAGTGGTATAGCTGTGCTGCTGTAAGGTCCATAGTGTAGACATAGCCTTAGTACTTACTCCCATAATTTTCACTGCACTGTCAGTTTCTTATCATTTATACTTTCTTCTGTAAAAGCCACTTAGGCTGTCTAGATTAGCCTGGAAGCTGCTTTATAAATCTGACATTTTGTACTGTTTGTGAAAAATGAAAACTAAGACTGTTGCGTTTGGTTCAGTGCCATGCAGATTGTGCTAGTTAGGGCTATACTGCAGATCCAGTGGGAATAAAACAATATTTAAGGAGTAATATTTTACCAAGATTGATACGGAATTTAATTAGAAGTGCAATACAGGGACTTTCACCTCTAGAGAACCAAGCTGGTAGTAACCAAAAGTGGTTACCAGCAGATGTCTTTTCAATAGGTTATGTGAAGTGAGTTGCTGGTATCAGTATAGTGTTGTTCATCTCACAAAACCAACAGCTCAGTTGCCACCTTTCTTAGCTGTGACATCCAAGAATGTATTGGCCATTAAGGCTGAATTACTCCTTTACTACCAGAAATTGTTCCCCATGTCAAGGTTGAGATGTATCACCAAGGCAATGTAAAGAGATTTGCATGACCACCAATGTCTCTAAGGTGCCACAAGTCCTCCTTTTCTTTTTATGAAACCTTTTGTTAGTGCACATGTTCTCACTCAATAATGTCTGAAACATTTCAGTTAATATACTGGTGCAGCGCTTGGTAGAAGATAAGAATGGATACAGAGTACCTCAAGAAATGCATAGGAAAATGCTTAACTGAAGGACTTGCAGAGGTGGCAGAGCATCGGCCAGCAGACCCAATTAATTATCTGGCATACTGGCTTTACAAATACAAGAAAAATTTAAATAAAGAAGAAGAGGTGAATTTCCTTCCATTTTAAAAAAATCTTTTTTGACATTTAATCCCAACATGGCTGATTTTAGTTTCCATATTTTGTCATTGGTCAATGTCATAATTTTTCTGCAACGCTAGAGGAAGGTAGAGAGGGCCCAGCTGATAAAAGATCATGCAAAGGCCCTGATAGAACTGGAAGTGGTACAAAAACTGAAAGCAGAAGAGCTCCTGATCAAGCAGAAAACTGAAGCACATTATCAGGTCTGGCAGAATTTAATCTTGTGTACTACATTTTAAAACTGAAATCTTATTATCTTTACATGCTTTTGAAAATTGAATATTAATAAAATTATTTTATATTTTAATCTAATAATGCAATAGTTTTAATCTAAAATGAGGTTTTTTACATTAAAAAATTAATCCTCACAATACTCCTGTAATTAGAATAGATAGGTAAATCATTTGTATCCCCATATTACAGATAAAAGAAAAGGAATTCTCACAGTGTCTCCAACTACCTCGCTAAAAGGGAAATTTAGATTATAATCCAACAACTCATGAAAAAAACACACCCCTGACCGACATAAATTTCACCAACAAAAGCACTGATGTGAACAGCATAGAGGGGCTACATGAGAGGCCTTATAGCGGCATAGCCACAGCAGTACAGCAGTACAGCTGTAAGGTCTGTAGTGTAGACATAGCCTGAGCGGTGACTTGGTGATGGTATTAGAGAGACAAGGTGGGTGAAGTAATATCTATTATTAGACCATCTTCTGTTGGTGAGAGAGACAAGCTTTTGAGCTTACACAGAGCTCTTCTTCAGGTCTCTTGATTACAGTATGTAAGCACCTTCGCAGGGAGAAGGGTACTAAAGGACTCTTTGATCTAGTGGAGACAGGCGTAACAAGAACCAGTGGCTGGAAACTGAACCCAAATGAAAAATTAGGCACACATTTTTAACAATGAAGATGATTAACCACTAAAACAAACTACAGGGAGATAATGGATTTTCCATTTCTTGATGTCTTCAGATCAAGACTGGATGCCTTTCTGGAAGGTATACTGTAGTCAAACACAAGTTACTGGGTTCAATACAGGAACAACTGGGTGAAATTTAATGGCCAGTGATACACAGGAGGTCAGACTAGATGATCTAATGGTCCCTTCTGGCCTCCAAGTGTTACGAATATGACTTAAGAGGTCTAACCAAAACTGCTTTAATTGCTGGCAGCAGCCTTTGGTTAGTCTTCTCTAGGGCAGTGCTTATCAACCTTTTTTGGGCTCAGGGCCCGTTTGTAACTGTTTATGGCTGGGATCTCAAACTCAAATCACCATGAGGGCCACGTGAGGACTAGTACATTGGCCAGACGGCCACATCACTGAAACCTTTTCATACAACAATACAAAAGTATAGTCAAAAATGAAAAAAGAGTAATATAGCATGCTATTAAAAGTCAATGCATTAACTTTTTTTAAATCCTGAATCTTTTTTTTTTAAATCCTGAATCTCCGGATTTTATATATGGTCAATATTAAAAAAAAAAAAACATCATAAAACAACAACTGGAAGACCTTTATAGCCTATAGGATTTCTATTTAAGTATGTACAATAAAGTACCTGAATTTGAAGGTATCTTATTTAACATGCTGAAGTTAAGCCAATGAATAAATTTAAGTTCAATTAATAAAAATCTTAGTATGTTTGCAGACAATTCACAAAGAGGAAGAAGGCTGTAATGACTGAATAGTTCACCCAACTCTGCTGTCAAACAAGCACCTTCTCCTGTTATAATGGTAGCATAAATGTCGCTCCCTCTACCCCAGCCCTGCCCTCACTCCACCCCTTCCATGAGGCCTCGCCCCTGCCCCACCTCTTCCCACCCTTCCCCACCCCCATTCCAACCCCTTCCCCAAAGTTCCTACCCCAACTCCGTCCCCTCCCTGCCCCTATTCCAACCTCTTCCCCAAATCCCTGCCCCAACCCCACCTCTTCTCCGCCTCCTACCCTGAGCGCGGCATCCCCACTCCTCCCTCATCCCTCCTGGAAAGTTCTAAGTGCTGCCAAACAGTTGTTTGGCAGCAGGAAGTGCTGGGAGGTAGGCGGAGGAGCAGGGATGCAGCATGCTGGGGGGGGGAGGAGGCCGGGGGAGGGGAGCTTGGTTGCCGGTGGGTGCAGAGCATCCACTAATTTTTCCCCATGGGTGCTCCAGCCCTCGAGCACCCAGGGAGTTCGCACCTATGATGGGCCGCAGGAAATAACTCCGCGGCCGCTGCATGTTTGAGACCCCTGGTTTATGGCCTGTCACAACCTAGGAAATAGTCTGGGGTGGAGGCTCTGGGGTAGTTTTGGTTGGGTTCTGCCCCCTTGGGGCGGGGTAGAGTGGTCCTGCCAGCACTCACCCCACAGTGGCAGCTCCTGCAGCTCCTGTGCTGTGGGGCTGGCTAGGCTTGGCTTTTGGCTCTGGCCATTGCAACGTCCAGGATTGTAGCACTGCTCTGGTTTGGCTTCGCCCACCTGACTAGACCAAATTTGTGTGAGTTGTGAACTGGCCCATGGGTTTGCAGTGCCACTCACTCAAATTTGACCTACCCAGACTCCCGTCATCATGACAGCTGAGCCAAGCCTGAGTTGCACTGGGACCCCGGAGGTTGCAGTGCCTGCAGCAGAGAGACAAGCCCAGCCAGCCTCATGGGACAGGAGCCACGGGAACTGCCACACTAGCCTTTGAAACATTCTGGTGGCCCAATCTTAGGTCCTGATCCACGGGTTGAGAAACCTGCTCTAGGGCAGTGTGATAGGGTCTGCGGAGGGCCAGGTGATCTAGTGGGTGTGAGATAACCAGGATACAATCTAAACGAACGAGTAGATGTGTCACCCCTGCCCTCTAACCTGGGGAGCCCTTTACAGGGCATTGCTGCTATGGCTTCCAGTCAAGACTGCTCACAAACACCCTCTAGCATGTAAGTTACTCTGAGCTATCTCTAAAAAAGAAAAGGAGGACTTGTGGCACCTTAGAGACTAACAAATTTATTTGAGCATGAGCTTCCGTGAGCTACAGCTCACTGCTACTCTGAAACCTGAGCTATCTCTGTGTGCACTTGCAGCATGCCAGTCACACTCAAGTTTTTACCAACCTGAATTATACTGCAGGGTGACCCCAGTATACTCCCACTCCCAGATTTTTCCCCAGAAAGGTAGGGTCTTGTACTGCCCAGCTCTATCCTGGACAAAACAAGCTCGTATATAAAGTCTGTCATTTTATTAATAGAACTGGTATGCACTAATCTTGTTATCTCAAATGGAGTTACAAGAAAAATACAGATAAAACACAACTATTGCCTAACTTAGCAAGCCACGTTAAATTCAAAGCAAAGTTTTTCTCACCACATGTTCTCAAAAGTCTTACTGGCCAAACTCCTTAGACCAGGATCCCTTGTTCCATGTAATGACTGCTTCCATTGTTCCTACTCATACTGTGAATCGACTGGGGAGAGGGAGCAAGAGAGAGAGAGAAGGAGGAGAAAGGGAGCCTTGGGGTGTCAGTCCAGTTCCTTACCTGTGTGTATGGGCTTAGCTTTGCCTCAGGGTTTCAGTGTCCTTGCCCTCTTTTTACAGGGAGTGAAGGCGGTGGAGAATGAGGCTTATACACTCCTGCAGCAGGGGCACTTGATAAGGGAGCCCAGGTCCTTCAATTCCACCAGGCTCTGACTCAGTCAGTGTCTGGCCCTCGGAGTTACCAGCTGGGTCACTTCCTATCATCTGTCTCTCCCCATCGTTCCAAGTACAATATAAGATAACAAAAGGGAAAAAAAGACCTTCAACCCCAACGAGGCTCCGTCCCCTTCCTCCCCGGGAGACTTCTTCAAGACCCTTGTTCAGGAGCCCCCAGGAAAGGTCTGACTTCCTCCCCAATCTAAGTTGGGTTGCTCCCTTTCAAGCTTCCTCCCCAGCCAGGACATACTGGTCTGGAGAAATGGGGCTACCTAGGCCCAGTATTGTCCTTTAACCCCCTTTGAGCCCAGTGTGGGGTTTGTGCATCCCATCAGAGGCTCCCAAAGTCATGACGATTGGTGGAGTTGAACCAGAGTTAGCCATGGCAGGAAATTCCCCAATGCAGATGAGACTCCAGGGGCTGGCTCTCCATGACTTGCGTGGCATCTCACAACCAGCAACATGAGTGAAGTTGGACATTGCAGAAATGAAGAAAAGAAGTGTGAGCTACTGGGAGATAATGTGCTGAATGTCCTACTTAGCCTGCCAGTTTGAAGTTCTCAGCACTAAGGGCTGGTCTACACTACACAGTTAGGTCGACAGAAGGGAGCCTTATGTCGACCTAATTATGTCAGTGTCTACACTACAGCCTTTCTCCTACCAATGTAAGTGCCCTACTACACCGACATAATAACTCCACCTCCACGAGAGGCGTAAGGCTTATGGTGGTGTAGTTAGAGTGACACAGCATCTGTGTAGACAGTGTCCCTCACATCGGCTGTCTTGTCAATTTTGCGGCTTCTGCCATGAAATTGACAAGAAAGCCAGGCAGCTAGATCCCAGCTACCCCCTCCCGCTCCCTGCTGGGAGCCGGGGCGAGAAGGGAAGCCAGCTTCAGACTCCACTCCCACATGTGAGCCAAGGTGAGAAGACTGAGCTCCTCTTCCCCGCCCCACCCAGCCTCCCCCTGGTGAGGATATGCACCACTGACCCAAGGAGAGTGGTGTGGACATGCATCACCACAGTAATTACTGTGGTGGCTGTAAGTCAACCTAATATAGGTCGACTTAGGTTTGTAATGGAGACATACCCTTACTGATAAAGAATTTAGAAAAATATTCTGTATAGGGCTAATCCTGCTCCCACTGCAGTCAATGGCAAAACCTCATTGGCTTATTGGGAAAGAGATGAGGCATGTAGTCTGTCTGTTTCTCTTTTTGTTTGTTTGAATCAAATGTAACTTTTATCATAGAAGATCATTATTGAACAGTATCCAAGAAAGATGACAGCAGAACTGATCAACAAGTCTGGAACCCCTAATTTGGCAACGGTTGCAGAGGTTGATGAGACTGTTATTTAGAGTAAGTATTATACCTAACAATACAAATAATGTCTAAACAGTTTTTCTCACCACATGTTCTCAACAGTCTTACTGGCTCCATTCATAGGTACTACAGTTAATGTTCCTTAGTACTTTGCCTGCTTTAGTCCATGATTACGTGACACACTTTGAAAAAGTGGGTTGACATACACCACTAGACAAGCACCAATCTTTAATCAAATATAAGAATGACTTCAGCAACCTCTTTTTTATGTAGATAATTTTGCGTTTTAGATATAACATGATTTGTCCATAAAAATGTTTTTCTATAAAACAAGAAAATGTATGGCTACAAACAAGTAAAAAGACAGTCAACTTTTAATCTGCCTGGGAAACAATATGCTGGAAATGTGCTGCTTTTTTCAGCTTAGTTAAGGAATAGAATTATCATAGTTTTGTTATTTGTGGGGCTTACATTATGAGCCAGTTTAAAGAATGAAAATGTTCCTGGAAGAATTTTAATGTAAGAAAACCCAGCTAAACTTGAGTAAAAGCCATGTATTTAACAAAAAAAATCACAAAGGTAATTTAAGTTTTGCAGCCAAATGTCTGAGTGTCTTTTTAAGTAATGTTGTGCCAGAGCCTGATTAAAGCTAGAAATTTCCAAAGTAAGGTAGTCTGACTCTATTTCCTTGTCTGGGGTGGCCAACCTGTGGCTCCGGAGCCACATGCGGCTCTTCAGAAGTTAATATGTGGCTCCTTGTCTAGGCACCAACTCTGGGGCTGGAGCTACAGGCGCCAACTTTCCAACGTGCCAGGGGGTGCCCACTGCTCAACCCCTGGCTCTGCCACAGGCCCTGCCCCCACTCCACCCCTTCCTGTCCCCTCCCCTGAGCCGGCCGTGCTCTCGCTCCTCCCTGCCAAAGAGCCTCCTGCATGCCACGAAACAGCTGATCGGGAGGTGCGGGGAGGGAGGAGGCGGTGCTGATTGGTGGGGCTGCCAGTGGATGGGAGGCACTGGGAGCAGGGGGTTGGGAGCGGAATTGGGGCTGCTGACTTATTACTGTGGCTCTTTGGCAATGTACATTGGTAAATTCTAGCTCCTTCTCAGGCTCAAATTGACCACCCCTGTCCTTATCTATTAATTCCCTAGCTCACATTCATACACACACCTGAACCTTGTCACTGCAATGCAGGCTCTTTGAGAACATCAATAGTTCTGTTGCAGGTGGAGGGCTGATGATATGCCTTTTTAAACAGAAGCGATACCTTATGAGTGTAACAAAATTGTAGTTTGAAGCAGACACCCTAGCATGAAACATATAGCAAAAATCATCAACACCTGGGACCGTGGACTAATCTCTTAAGTCACTGTCATGGATGGTATCTACACTCACAGATATATGTCTCTAGTTGGTGGTGGGAAGAAGTTAGGGAAGGGAAAACCTGACCTTAAATAGAATCGGTACACCTTCATCCAAAAAAAGGGAATATGCATTCAAAAAGCACACAACCATACAAGAGTGGGAAAACATGGGTTTAAAATCAAATTCTGTATTGCCAAATGAAGAATAGTCATGGTTTTTGATTGAGTGGACAATATTATATGAATAGAAAAGAAACTCGGTAAATATACTGCATACTGACAGAATAAACTCATGTACACTGATTGGCTGTGAACTAGAGTTCCTTGTGCAACAAAATTTACCTGTTGGGGTCATGAAGATACCTCTCCAGAGTGTATCAGAAATTAAGGAAGCAAATAAGATGCTTGGTGTGTTTTTAAAAAGCAACAAACTGTTCCAGCTTAATGTTAACCTCTGCAATTCACTGTCACAAGAAGTTCCTACTCCTATCTAGTCAGAGAAGCTGCTTGAGCCCCATTAGCCTGCTGACATCAGAAGCATTTCCTGTTTCCATCTTTAAAGGGAGATGGATAGTTACAATGAAAATAAGTGGAGAAAATCTTGGATTTAAAAGAGAATTGTGCAAAATTCATTCTTTTCCTCCTCTCTGAAAACAAAAGCGACCTAGTTATTCTTTGGGCTTTTTCTTTTTCTTTGCTGTCTCACTCTGAAATATTTACAGGAGCATAACATATATGTTATGTTTAAATCGTAAACTCATTAAGTTTTAATTTCAGCACATGAATGAAAACTTTATTTTAAAAAGTTTAAAGGAAAGTGCTGAGAATAACAAATTTCTTGTTATACTTGTTATGAAACAATAAGAAAGTTGTAGTATTAGATAAAAGCCTAGAAGATGAAGGCAAAAGGATGGTAATATTGGTGCCCTGGGAAACGGGTATATGGCTAGTGGGTGAAATCACTTGTCATTGGATATTGAAGAGAGAGATCAGTGGGTGAAGTTATAAACTATTAGGTAGAGGGGGACTTGGTCTGCTAAAATTCAGAAATGTCAGATGTCCTGTCCACATTTTAAAAACATGGCTAAACAAAGCTGTCTGGCTAGCTCAACTTTCTTTGTCTTCACAATGTTGAATTCATGAGGTAATTCTTTCTCTTGCTAACTGGAAAATGGAATAGCTGATATTTAATACTGTAAATGAGTGATTTACATTTATTGATTTCCAAACATCATTTATCTGACTCAACATACCTAATATGAAAGAAAGACAAGGTGTGTGAGGTAATATCTTTTATTGGACCAATAGTTGGTGAGAGAGACATGCTTTCGAACCACAGAGAAGTCTTCTTCAGGTCTGGGGGCAGGTGTACATTTAAAGCACTGCACTGGCGCAGCTGCAGTGTTTATTACTAAATGAAGATGCTCCTATGCTGACAGGAGAGTGAGTCAGCATAGTTAATCCATTTCCACAAGAGGAGATGGCTATGTTGATGGGAGAAGCCCTCCTGCTGACACAGTGCTGTGTACAACAGGGGACAGGTCAGTATAACTACATTGCTCAGGAGTGTGGATTTTTCACCCCCCAGAGCGACGTAGTTATACCAGTATAAGTGTGTAGTGTAAACATGGCCTGGCAAAGGTACTCTCAGCAGGCAAGTCTACACTACAAAATTAAGTCGACCTAAGTTAGGTCGATGTACAGCCACTGCCATAATTAAATTGCTTTTGCATGTCCACACTACACTCCTTCTTACAGCGGTGCGCATTCTCACCAGAAGCCCTTGTACCTATTTAACTGTCAGCGTGGGGCACTGTGGGACAGCTTCTGAAAGGCAGCAACAGTTGATGTAAGCAACACAGTGTCTACACTGACACAGGATTGACCTAACTGTCGACCTAAGCGTTATGTCTGTTAGGGAGGTTGAGTTAAGTCAGTGTAGTAGGTGAGTTACATCGGTGGGAACTACATTTTAATGTAGATGCTTACAGAGATAGGTTGACCTAACTCTATAGTGTAAACCAGGCAAGAGTCACAGCACAATTGCAAGGTGGAATAGATAGTTTATCGTAAGTAGTTAGCACATAATGTAAGGGACCATTCTAGAGTGGCCAATTAACACCTCTGCAGTCATAGGATAAAAAGAGGGGTTTAATGGGTCACAGATTGTTGTAATAAGCCATAGATCCAGTGTCTCTATTCAGACCATGATTTTTAGTGTCTCGCAGAGTTATGAATTTAAGCTTCCTGCCTTATCTTTTGAAAGTGTTGTGCAGGTTTCCTTTGAGGACTGATAGGTCAGAAAGAGAGAGATCGCTTTGTGAAAAGTGTTTACCCACAGGTGATAGGGTGTTTTTTCTTATAATTGTCCTTTGTGAGTTCATTTGAGAGCGTAGTGTTTTTCTGGTTTCACCCACATAGTTGCTATTGGGGCATTTTGTGCACTGGATGAGGTTTACCATGTTGTGATAGGCATATGTAGAATCCATGGATCTTCAAAGGCGTGTTGTATCGGGTGTTGACCATTGTAGCAGTGGAGATATGTCCACAGGTTTTGCATCCGTTGTGCTGGCAGGGTCTGGTGCCACTTTGAGTTGGTGTGTTCTTGTCTCTGGGGAGCTAGCTCCTGATAAGCTTGAAGAGCTTGGGGGTTGTTTGGAAGCCAGAAGTGGAGGCTCAGAAAAGATTTCTTTCAGGATGGGGTCCCCATCAAGTATGGGTTGTAGCTGTTTGATGTTACCCCAGTATGGATTCCAGTGTGGTTTGACAGGTGACAACTAGATGTGTGGTCAGAGGGGGTTTTATTTCTGTATTGAAGCATGTTTTCTTGGGGTATTTTGGTGGCCTGTTACATAATGTGATCTTTGTTTGGTGATGGCAGGTTTAAATGTGTTAAGGTGTATATTCTGGACTTACTCCTCACAGGTATCTGAATGCCTGGCTGTAGGTAACAGATTTCTTGATGCATATGAAAGAAGTAGTTAGAAAAATAAAGACACAATGGACTGAGGAAATAAACAAATAATTGTTACAAAGTTAAATATAAGCATTATCAAGAGTTAAGTAACTAGATAGGACTGCTAAAAATCACTGAAAAAGGAGAATCAATGAATAAACAGCAATCCTGCCTTTTTGATATTATACATCATTCTTTATTTGTGGAAATAAATATTACAAAACAGATAATATGATTTGATTATTTTGCCAAAAGTGTATTTGTTTTTGATTGTACACAAAAATTCATTCTTTTCATGCATAGAAAGAAAGAAAGGAGAAGGTTGTCGACATTTTGGCAGATGGTAAAGCTGTGGAAACAAACCAGGAACCATCAAGGGACAAACCTGACAGGGAAGACGACTCAGTACATGAATGAGAATGAGCTGAATGAATCACTAACAGGACATCTCATGAGGGAGCTTCAAATGAGAACACTGCAAGCAAAGATCCCATAAAGCTTTCTGAAATGTCTGGTAGAACACAGCAAACCTAGGAATGAATAAGACATGAAAACCAAAGACATAGTAGTTTCACATGACAAGTATGAATCCAGTGAAGAACTGAAATTAATATAAAGACAAAAAATAAGGTATATGAATTGACTAAATTATCTTCCTCTTGTGTACAGTACTCTGGAAATTAGTAGGAAAGAGTCTTCCTTTCTGTTCATGATGGTCCACAGATACTAAGGCCCTGATCCTGAAATGTAATATGTGTGTGCAGACTGGTGTCTGTATTTGCATGGGAAAGTAAAATAAAGCAGTGCACGATAAAAGACTTTGGAGCACTTTTTTCTTTAAACTTTCTGTACCTCTTACATCCTTCCATTCTACACCACCTATTATATTGATTTTTAAAAATATGTCCTGGCAAATATAATGACACTACTAATTTTGTACTCATATTTAATGGATCCAATTTGATTACTGTATCTGTAATTGCTAATTTTGGAAATAGTGCACCCTTTAGAACAGTTCTTAAAGTGGTAGACTTTACTAAATCTCAGTCACAAGGCAAATGAAACTGGCATCTTTACATTTTGCCTGTGAAACAGTATCCTGGATTTCTAGTTAAATAATTGCATAAAATATCTTCTGAATAATTCTACTGTGCACCTGCTAAATTTAGAATTTGTTTTAACTGCTTCGAAGTTTTTAATAAGGTTTTAGCACAGCTCCTATGGCCAATCATATTTTAAAATCTAGGTTATTAAAAGCTATTTTATCCTGTATGTTCAGTTGTCTATAGGTTTTTTATGATTATGCATACTTTGGATCCAATTTGAATGAGGGAAGTGTCAAAAAAATCATGTTTTCTTGTATGTATTCAGGAGGCCATCAAAATAATTTGGATCAAAAGTTGTTGGGAGTTTTTCCTCAATAAAAATGTACCATTTAAAAGTTTCATAACACACTTATGCACATGACTTTAGACTAGAGAGATGGAATGGAAGAGCCTCAGTCACAATCTCCAAATAGGCTTTTCACATTGTAAGAAATTCCAGATGGGGTAAGGGAGAGGAGAGGAAGAGAAGGATAATTTATAGCTGATCGTGCTTCTCTAGAAAGGCATTCACCATTAATCTATTTTACAGCCCTCATTTGCATGTAACTTCCACTGAAGTCAGCTGGAATTCTGTGAAGCAAGCCCTAAATCTACAATTAGCAAACAAAACCTAAATACAATGACAGTTAAGGTAGTAAGTGGCAGGACACAATCCGTCCACCCCTAACGTTAGAATCATGGAAATAAGAGGAAAAACTTGTAGTTGTATGTAATATGAAGGTGGAAAGGACACAACACATGATAGCACAGGGGTTCTCAAACGGCAGGTCGTGACCCCTCAGGGGGTCACAAGGTTGTTACATGGGGGTCACGGCACCGTCACCAGGCTCCCGCCTCTTCCCGCAGCTCCCATTGGCCGGGAACGGCAAACCGCGGCCACTGGGAGCTGCGGGCGGACATGCAAATGTAAACAAATGGTCTGGCGGTCCATCAGTGGCTTGCCCTGATGGGCTGCATGCGGGCCGCAGGTTGCCCACCACTGGTCCATACTGATTACAGGTTCTGCTGAATAACGATCCAAAGGAGAGCAGACCAAAGCATGTTCATTTTCATCATCTGAGTCAGATACCACCAGCAGAAGGCTGATTTTATTTTCTGGTGGTTCAGGTTCTGTAGTTTCTGCATCAGAGTGTTGCTCTTTTAAGACTTCTGAAAGCATGCTCCACACCTCGTCCCTTTCAGATTTTGGACAGCACTTTCAATTCTTAAACTTTGGATCGAGTGCTGAAGCTACCCTTCGAAATCTCACATTGGCACCTTCTTTGCATTTTGTCAAATCTGTGAAAGAATTCTTAAAAAGAACATGTGCTTGGTCATCATCGGAGACCGCTATAACACGAAATATATGGCAGAATGCGGGTAAAACAGAAGAGGAGACATACCATTCTCCCCCAAAGAGTTCAGTCACAAATTTAATTAATGCATTGTTTTTTTAACAAGCATCATCAGCATGGAAGCATGTCCTCTGGAATGGTGGCCAACGCATGAAGGGGCATATGAACGTTTAGCATATCTGGCACGTAAATACCTTGCAATGCCAGCTACAAAAGCGCCATGCGAATGCCTGTTCTCACTTTCAGGTGACTTTCTTATTGTAAATAAGAAGCAGGCAGCAGTATCTCTCATAAATATAAACAAACTTGTTTGCTTATCGATTGGCTGAACAAGAAGTAGAACTGTGTGGATTTATAGGCTCTAAAGTTTTACATAGTTTTGTTTTTGAGTGCCTTTATATAACAACAACAAAAATCTACATTTGTAAGTTGCACTTTCACAATAAAGAGATTGCATTACAGTACTTGTATGAGGTGAACTGAAAAATACTATTTATTTCTTTATCATTTTTACAGTGCAAATATTTGTAATCAAATATAATATAAAGTGAGCACTGTACACTTTGTATTCTGTGTTGCAACAGAAATAAATCTATTTGAAAATGTAGAAAAACAACCAAAAATATTTAATAAATTTCAATTGGTATTCTTTTAACAGTGTGATTAATCACAATTAATTTTTTTAATCAAAATTATTTTTTTGAGTTAATTGCATGAGTTACCTGTGATTAATCAACATCCCTACTAATACGTAAGGAAATATTCAGGCCAGTTTAAACTCAAAATGAGGCAGAGAGTTTGTCATTAAAAAGGACTGCACTAAAAGACCAGTAAAATCTTACCAAATGAATACATCATAGTAGAAGTTCAAAAATATATAGACGAGTTCATACCGATGGGACAATTTACACTTTATATTTTGAACTAGTAGATTTCCTCATAGGTAAGGAATGAGTATATTCCATACAAAATTTTAGAAACTTGAGTTCCTCTAATTAAGTTATAACAAATGTACATACAGATCATATCCCCTACAGCTAACCCCTGAACACCCTTCTTGCAACTCTTATCATAGAGGGCTTGTGAAGTGGCTTTTCATGGTTGTAGGACTAACTCCACCTCCATCCCCTTCCTGGTCTCTCTTAATGCACCCCATTAGATGTCAGGCCTCATGCCCTTGCCTCTCCTGGGATGGAATTCCACAAATCTCCCACTCTTATACCACGGCCTGGGCTACAGTATCCTATGTCAGGTTTCAGAGTAGCAGCTGTGTTAGTCTGTAGCCGCACAAAGAAAAGGAGTGCTTGTGGCACCTTAGAGACTAACAAATGTATTTGAGCATAAGCTTTTGTGAGCTACAGCTCACTTCATCGGACATCACTTCACAAGTACTCCTTTTTTTTAGTATCCTATGTATTAACTGTATTTACCCAGGAGATGTGACAGAATTTGGCACCTGTGGTTCTTCCTTCTGGGAGTCTGTGATTAGTGTGAAATTTAGTGATCAGACAACCTTTTCAAAATCAGAGCACTGTTTAATACTAGGAACAAAGCATTTAGAGAAAAAGGATTTTGAAACAGTCAACCAACATGCATATCTATCTTAGTTAAATCCTACAAACCCAGCTTCTTCAGATATCCCAGGAGGTGCCTGTGTCAGTCTGGTTTCTCCCAACAATTCCCCAACAACTACCTCTTCTTGAGAGATCTTTTTAACCTGTTATAGTCCTTTTTGATCCCAGGCCTTGGCCCTGCTTCTCAAAGCCAGTTCTGTAAGATGGATGGAATCAGGAGGTAAAATATTAAAAGTTAATAGTTTGGGCATTGTCTCTCAACAACACAAGTGTTTTTTCAAGGGATGGCTTATCTTCATCCATTCCATTTTCTTTCTGCTTGTTTTTCTTATAGCACGCTATTACACTAAACCAATGTACAGTATTCATACAGTAAACTTCCCAATAACATGATCACAGAACTGCTCCACAACTCCCTTTGGTGTGAGGGGTGCAGGTAGGAATGTGTGTGGGGGGGGCGTAGGAGTTCCCGTTTGGTGCTCAGGATGGGGGTGAGAATGTGGGGGGTGCAAGAATCAGGGCATGGTGTGTGGGGGTGCTGGGTATGTGTGGGGAGTGCAGGAGTCAGGGCAGGGGGTGTGTGAGGAGGGTGCAGGAGTCAGGGCAGAGGGCTGGGTATGTGTGGGGGGTGCGGGAGTCAGGGCTGGGGCCGTGGGGGGGTGCAGGGGTCAGGGCAGGAGGCTGAGGTGTGAGGGGGTGGAGGGGTCAAGGCAGAGGGCTGGGAGTGTGTGGGGGGGTGCAGGGGTCAGGGCAGAGGGCTGAGGGTGTGGGCTAGGGTCGTGGGGGTGCTCCCAGCCTCCTGCCCAGAGCGGCTCACGGCAGGGGGCTGGAGGGGATATGCCCTGATTCCACCCCCTTCCTCAAGGCCCCGTCCCCACCTCTTCTCTGCCTCCTCCCCAGAGCAGTGAGTATGCTGCGGCTCCACTTCTCTGGGCAGGAACCCAGCACATTGGGGGAACAGGTTGGGGGGGGGAGCTTGCCTGCCCTGCAGCAGCAGCTGGCAGGCCCAAGCTTCTTCACCCTACCTCTGCAGGGGGGCGGAAAAGAGAGGGCCAGGACAAACAAGATTTTTAATGGCACACTGCTGCCTGTCAGGGTCCTGGCCTGGGTTCGGCAGCGGGCTGAGTGGGGCTGGTGGCTGGGACCTGGCAGGCAGCAGCGTGCCATTAAAAATCGGCTCGCGTGCCGTCTTTGGCACACGTGCCATAGGTTGCCGACCCCTGGTCTAGGTTTAGCGAGCCAGTCAATTGACGAGTCAGATAATGCCAACTCATCACAAATATTGTCAAATATCCTAGCAAGAATGATCTGATGTCAGTGGCAGCCTACATTTTTGATTGCATCACTGTGCCAGTCTTTCATTTTTTAGAAGTGAATTTCAAGGTGTTTCACATTTTTCCTGAATTAGAATAACTCGGCGGTTAAGTAACCTGCTTTTTGTAGTTAGGCATATCTATCTAAGACAGAGGTTCTCAATCAGTGGGGCATGCCCAACTTTCTAGGGGAGTACTAAATTTGAGTGAGTCGCATTGTGAGCCACTTAAGGTCACAGTGCCCCTAAATTTGGCCGGGCTGCCCCTCCTTCAAGATGCCAGGATGCAGGAGCTCCTTCAAGAGGGAGAGGTAGACCAGCCAACTTTTTAGCCACATTTTAAAAAATGCCAACTTGGGATGTGATTAAAACAAGATTGAGAACCTGATTTAAGGCTAAGTCTATTGGAGTTTATAAAGTCTGTTTTGTTACTGCTCTAATAAATTAGAGCTTTAAAATATGAGATTATGAATATGAGATTATTTAAAATAT